GTGTTCTGGGGATTATCTGCGACAAATACAAACTACTGTCATTTTTAAAAAGATTTATTCGGGGGCATGTTTACCTTCAGAGATTTCTAAACGAACAGGAAAAGCCATACAGGAAATGTAATGAAACCAGGAACCACTCAGCTGTCAGGATTAACAAGAAAACCTGTGGTGTGTCCTGGCTCTTTAAACCTTTGAATCACATTTTTATTCACCGTGGGCTCATTTTTCACTGAAATATAAAATCCTTGCACTTCTATGGAAACAGAACAATCGATTTCAGAAGCAAAAAGGACTCAGACGCTGTATTTTATTCAGTATGACGCTGTTACGATGCCAAACATCATCAAAAAAGAAGAAAGTAGAAAAAGACGTTCTTTGATTTCTTGCTTTGCAAAAATAAAACAACCCGGAATCAACATGTCCAACCGTTTTTCCAAGTGCCTACAACTAGTAGTAATCCTGGAATAGGCCTATAGCTCTACTTACTATGGTTTCTGTACTTTCTTCTACATGCTCTGTGTCAGATCAGCTGAAAATTTCCCAGATTTTTTGCTGCGTCACTCTTGGTAACAGCTGAGTCATTCATGGCTTCACAGTTGAGACGAGGAGTGCAGAATTTTGGGATTTTTACAGAATCTGTTCAATGCAAACACCTTGTTTTTGATGAAAGTTTAACCTTGTAATGCCAAGTGTACTTTTTTTTTTGCTTGAAAAACACATTCAGTGCACATGTAGTCCACCGTGGATCAGAATTCATGCACCAAAAATGCCGGACGTAGCAAAAATACTAAAATCTGAAAATTGCTATTTAATTTATTTTTATGAAAAAATGTCAGACAGTTTGATAAACACGCCACTTTCCAAAAAATGTGAATTTTCTGGTGATTATTTCATGTTTCAGACTTTACAGGGTTAAATGTGGCGTGTAGAATAAAGTGATTTTGATTAATTTTGATGATTTTAAGCTGATTTTTGCTGATGGAGCCACACATGACACATAGTTAATTCAACAAGCATTAGAAAGGTAATAATTTGAGGACTTTTCCTGTTTTTGCAGTTTCTGGCTCTGATAAATGGTGTAATTTTGGTGATTTTCTTTAAAGGTAACATGCATTTCAAACCGAGTTTGGGGCTTCAGGTGAAAATAAAAACCTACATTGTCTAAACCAATCAGTGTCTCCATCACAGTGAAGCTATCGATTACACAAATGTTAAGATTGTCCTGCAATTCTGGTGCAACTGTGCTGCAGATGCAACGTCCAAATGTCCCCCCGATAGTCTTCAGTACTTGAGTTCCACAGAAAGAGTCGGTGGAGTGAGCCGAGCTGTTTACTCAGCGTGATGTGATGTGCAAGACTCAGCCATCAGGACTCAGAGAGAAATCCATTGTTAGCTGCTATCAATAGGACAGGAAGACTTTGATCGGGGCCTGGAAAACACCCGGCCTTTACAAGAGCTTGGATTTCTCCGGGAGAGGAAAAGCAGGTTTGGCTCTTTGAAACCTCGCAAACTAACAGACGCAGCGGGCCTCGTACCACAACAAGCCTTTGGCCCGAGCCTCACGCTGCTGCCGCTGCCGTTTGTTGTGCGTTCAAAGAGGATGGACACTCGGAGGGGCCTGTGATGTTCACAGAGGGAGGATGTGCGAGGCCGAGGAACGTCCCCGGCCGCTCGTGTTTGTGTTCGGCGAACCTCTGAACCTTTGGATTGCCGGTTCAGACGCCGCGAGTCACGTTTGCGTCGGTGTGAGTGCGTGGTCGGCGTGCGCAGAAAAAGAGGCGGGAGGGGTTTGTGCTGCAGGAGGCTTCACTATTGACATGATCAACAAGTGCACATGAGCACCTGAGTTACTGATTACAGGTGATTTTATAATTTTTTTTTTTTTTTGTCCTCCCCGTGATAAGACTCTTTGCTTGAAGCACAAAGTCCTACCAGGTGCAACAAGGCTTCTGCTGCCATTCCTCACAGAACCGCCGCTGCCTGTCAGGTAAAGACTTTTACTGCTTTAAGCCCACAGATTCTTCTTTATCATGTGTTGCTGATGCACTGTCTGCACTGTAATTAGATCAAATGTGCAATTAAAGCACAAATCTAAGCTGCAACGACGTCTTTTTATAATTTAAATTCAACAATCCACACTATTACCTGAACTAAAGAAGCATTTGTTTGAATTTTTCACATTTTCAATTACATTTGATTTAATTTCTTATGATCTTGTTCTTTTTTTTTGCAGGTTTTTTTTTTTATTTTGCTTTTTTTTGCAGCATCATGAGTGTCGAGTCCAAAAAAACAAGTGAGGCTTGTTGCTCCAAGCTCAAGGTCAGTTAAAAATGTTACCTTCTGCCTGTATTACAAAGGGGAGTGTTGCCTAATGTCGTTATGCATGCTAATAGTTGTAAAATCTCACTCTGAAACTGCTGTTTTTAACATTATAATTACCTGCTTTATCCACTCTGCCGTACAAATAACACACCTGAGCTGTTTGTCGTCCTCTAATTTGAGTGAAATTGAATGTAAAGGAGGTTTAAAATGCTTGTAATAACAGAGAAATGCATGGACGCTCAGTGAAGTAGACAGAAAACGGTGATATCAGGGTTGTAAGCTGCTGTTTATTGCCTCTCATGTGCGGCGCCACACTTTATTACAAGTTTACATAACAGGCTGGTCACATAAAACACATCAACCTCCAGAGGAATTATGTAAAAACATGTTGGAGGAGATGTTTACATGTAGACTTTAAGCTGCCGATGACTGCGTTTATCTGTGAATGCACAGAAAAATCAGTGGCAATCATTGATTGTGTTTGTGTCAATAACACGGTGGCATGCAGGTCAGAATGTATTGGGAGGCAAACAATGTGCAGAACAAGGGTTTCAGGAAATGTTGTTTTATATAACGTTCATGTGTTGTTTGCAGACAAGACAACACATGTTCTTGTAGGCTTCTTATTTCTGGCTTGCAAACCTTAATTTTTCTAAACCAGTTGATTAAAAACACAGAACCTCTTAAGGCCTGAGTCACATTTTGGGTTAGATTACCACAGTAGT